CGAGGCATTTAAGCGTTTAGATGAATACCCATAATGTATATTTTCCTTTAAATAAAAGAATTTTTCGAAGAATCGAACCTTGCTGCTCTGGAATTATTCACCAGTGCTATACGAATACGACAAGAATGCCTGCTTAATTTAAAACTTATCATAAGGGGATTCACCATGCTTGTTAAGCATCGTAATATCTTAAGTCTTGAAATTTTTCTATGCAAAATAACTGACATCGTGTTTTGGATTCGGTCAAAATCGATTACAGCGCTAATAAAGAAGAAGAAGAAGAAAATAACGATGAAAGTGGTTTTAAGGATTTCTAACTGTATCGAAATATTTTTGAATACAGCGAATTTCCTAAAGCCTTTATAACCTCTTATTTACGTAGAACAATTTGAAGATATTGTGAATCCCCAATTGAATATCCGTGTTAAAAGAGGCAGTTGAATATATTGGCTTGTAGCTATAGTCAAAGCAAAGTCGACTCTAAATTAAAAAGCAGCTTTTTGAAAGTTACGTTTTAGATGGGATATCTGTAAAAAAAAAAAACCATTGATTTCGGCTAGTTCGCGAACTAGTATCGCTCCCTCTGCTTTACTTTACAACTAGTTGGATTTGTAGCGTGACATACATGTGCATGCATACACTAGCACATACATACATACATATATACATATGTAATTCGTATGCATCGTATGCATAATAAATACTTACATATGTACTTGGCAAAACGGACATTTATATATGAGATTGGCATGGGAGAATTGTTAATTTCTCATGCAATTAATTATTCTAAATGCAAGCAATGCAAATCACAAGTTCCTGCCAACGCAAACCGGAAGAAATTTCTCCAAAACCTTTCATTTCCAACTTATGACATGATGGTTGCTCGCTTCATGGCCACAATGCCACTTCAGAGGCACGTACGAATGTAAGTATGTATGTAGATTAATTTACACACATGCATACATGCATACATACATGCATATTTTAAATAAATTCGTAATCGCTATACCTAAATGTAGTATGCAGTAACCGCAGCACATTGCAATTTGTGCTCAGTAAAACCACAAGCATCTTGGTAAGGCAGCCTTTGAAAATCTTGCTGATAATTCAATTGCTTGCATAAACTTTGATTGCGCCTTGCACAATATTTTTCCGCTTCATTTTTGTTGAATAATAACCGCTTCATCTCATATTCATTTTTCATTCGACTCGAATATTTGCTTTCTTTCTAATGGTTTATTTTTTTTTTCATTTCTGACAGGATTTCCGGCAGCCGCCTATGCAGCCTATGCAGCCGGACGTGGTTACTCTGGATATCCAAGCTTCGGTTTGCCTTACCCTGCTGGTGAGTATGAAAACGAGTTCTACAAATTCCCGAAATACATAAACATACAAACACGTTCTATACATTCACGAACTTTTGGCAACTACTAAATAAATACTGCTTAATATATCTACATACATACATACATACATACGTGCAGGCGCACACATTCACTTATATACTTGAACTTACATATTTATACATAAGTGCAAATATTTATTCTCTCGACTACCATACTTAATAATAACTTCAATACACTACTCAAACCATAGCCTCACTTCCGGTTTCCCTTTACACTGCACAACCATAACTATTGTTCCTTACAAAAATACTATATATATACATACATACATGTATTGGTATCCTTCTTCACACATGTGAACACATAAGTATGTAAGTACTTCTTTTTCCACAGCAGGTTTGGCTTTGTTTTTATTTTAAAATGTTTTGTTCTATCTCAATGCTGGCCACCCACAATGCCTAGCAACTGAAAAAACAAACGAGAATATATTTAATACAAATGAAAAATGTACAATTACACTAATACTTACATACATAGGTATGTTAAAGGTGAATTTTGTGAATGCAAAACATTACCAGTATGCTTCTGTGCGTCCACGCTGTTATCTGGTGTAATTTACATCAGGATGTCTCACCAATATGTGGAAAATTAAAGGGGCAATTCTGGCTAAAATAGCAAAAAGTCTTTCGTAAGACAAATGAAAGACAGATGGCCAAATGGTTCGAAAGACTTTTGGTTATCGTAGCACGAAAGTCTTAGAAAAAAGCTCTCTCATTCACCGCTCTTGGTGAAATTTTATTTTGAGAGATAGCACTTGTCTTCGGGCAGCAGATTTTTTTTTTTCTTTTTTTACTACCGTTTTCGTAAACTTAATTATCTTAAATTTTTAGATTTTACTGTTTAAAAAAATATATATACAATATTTCTTAACCGTATTTAATTTTTAGATATTTTTTCTTAAACTTATTACCTTTTAATTTTTTGACTTTATTGTCTGAAGAAGAATATTTTTTTTTGTTTATTTTAATTTCTAAGTTCTTATATTTTTCGATATTTTTTTTCTGTTTTAGTTTAATTTTCGTTTAGATTTTATTTAAAAAAGATAAATATTTTTGTAATTGTTAGAACCTACATTATTTTGCTTCTTATTTTATTTAATTGTCTTTCTTTGCTTAATTACATTTTCTTCTAATTTGTATAATTGGCTGTTTTAAAAAGGAAAATATATTTATTTTATTTTATGAAATTTTTAAGATCTTGTTTAATTTTTTTATTGGTGTCTTTTCTTTAATTTATTTTATTTTTTTCTAAGTTCTTATTGATTTAATTTTTTTCTTTTTCTATTCTAATTTTTATTTTAATTGTTTTGAAAAAAATATTTTTTTAACATAATTTAATTTGTAAACACATATTTTTTTTTGCTTTATTTCGTTTTATTTTATTTCTCTTTTTTAATTAAATCTTCTTTTATTTATTAGTTGTTATTGTTTTAAAAAGATAAATATAAATTTTTGTAATTTAATTTTGTTTTTTAAAAAGTTATGGCTAAAAGACGAACGCATAACGCAAAAACCTTACAGTTGGCGCATATTTTGTAATGAGTCTTTGGAAAGGCAGTAAAGAGCTTTGCCAGAACTGACCTGTTAATCAAAATCATTTGAACCTAGAATTGTAGCTACCCCCTTGCTAGCTATTGACTCCTTGACCTTCTATTTTCGTAAGAAAAACAATTATGACACTTCTGTCAGAACAAAATTATTATGGATTAGCAGAAATATCCCTACTGGGTATGCATATGCCAATACATGCTGCAAGCATGTTCTTTTAGGGAAAAAAGTGCACTATCAACGATGCAAGCAGCTATGATAAATGCTTGGAAAATATGGAAGGTATGCTAAATGCTGCATGATATACATAACCATGTGTAAATTACTGTAAATGAATATTTTCGGTATACATATTTAGTTTATGGACTTGTGTGGCTGAAGTTGTATGCCATGTGTCAAAACCACAAACACTTGCCCACTTATAATCTTTTAAAATTCACAGAAACTTACCAGCATTTTGCCACTTGGCCACATCCCGAATTTGTGTACTACTTTTAAAAGCCATATCTCACAATTTATGTACATAAGTATTTACGTCTGTATGTACATTTATGTGTATTCTTGGCATTGCATACTCAAACCTATTATCTAGCATAATATAAAAATAAGGTTCCATACAGCCCTTAATAAATACAGCTAATTCAATTCTTCCTGTTATCCTTTTGAATATATTGACACTGACAAAAAATCACGAATTTTGTCCTTGGAATTTCTTCAAAAATCAGGATATGATCCGAATTTATTTGTAGAGGTAATGCTTATCTATATAACATTTGTTTACTGTAAGATCGTGATAACTCAAGAATCGAAATGCTCGAAAAATGGGGTTTAAAGTTTTCAGTCAGCTATTTCTCTTGAAATAAGAAAGAAATATGTGTTAATTAAAAATTTAAATAAATGTAGTAGTTTTTAAAACCGAATGCCCAACATACCATCAGCTTCCATAAAAAATATTTGAAGGATCTTGTTAAGGGAATTTCTTACTGAAAATTAACTAACCAAAAAATTACAAGGAATGTTTTCTTTTCACGACACGGCCGGCGTTCTAACTTTGTGGTCACAGAAATTCGGTGCATTAGAAAACGTTTTCGCTTGCGACCAGTCAGATACCAGTACCTGGAATCAGTTCCTTTTGAAGGAATAATATCTTTCTTACTGTGTGGATAGCCGAAGGACTTGGCCCATCGAAGACCCCTAGTGCTCTCCAGTCTAATGTTTCTTGACAAGGATAAAATGGTGCCGGTCCCACAAAGACATCTCGTTATCATCAGTGGCAAAAGCCGAAATCCGTTATTGTACCTTATACTTATCTGTAATCAAGGGCAGGAATCATTTTGTTCAGTGTTTGCGATCTGGTCCTTTCACTAGCAAGAGGTATCTTTGGCCATTAACTCAATACGTCCTCAACTCTCCATTCCCATTGCCTGTATGGAGGCCGCTGTGGTATAGTGGTAAGCAGTGCGCGCTTCCACTCCACAATGCCTGGGTTCAAACCCTGGTNTAAGCAGTGCGCGCTTCCACTCCACAATGCCTGGGTTCAAACCCTGGTCAAAGCAACATCGTAAAAATATATAAAAAAAGGTTTTTTCTTAACAGCGGTCGTCCCTCGGCAGGCAATGGCAAACCTCCGAGTGTATTTCTGCCATGAAAAACAGCTTCTCATAAAAATACAATCGCCGTTCGGAGTCGGCGTAAAACTGTAGGTCCCTCCGCTTTGTGTGACAACATCAAGGCGCACGCCACAAATCGGAGGAGAAGCTTGGCCAAACACTAACATATGTGTAAGCGCCAATCTATTATTATTATTACCTGTATGGAGATTATTTTGTATAGAAGTTGCCGTTCGAAAATAGAAATTATATCCGCTGCTAGGTTAGGTTTAAGTTACTGGATATCTGCTCTTCCTCGCATCTTCAGCTGCGGCACTGGTCTTCCGCGTTCACTCCCAATCTCGAGGCATGTGTGGCAATTAGACAGTGATATGTAAGGATTTTTGTGAGAATAGATACTGCCGCTGTAAGAAGACTACGTAAAAGACTAGCGAATTCACAGATGGAGAGGTATCGGCAGCGCTCTATTGCCGCTTGTATGGTGCTATCGCTAACATGTATGGTAAAAGTGCCCGTTAGTATACCTGCCATGTCATTCTGCTGAGGAATGGGGCGATGGTACTGTGCCTCGCTAATTCGTCGCTTTGAAGTTGCCCTCAATATCTCGATGCACACGTACCCAAATGAGCTGTATTCTATAATGCATTCAGTGTTTAGGTACGCTAGAGTCTAGCGCTATCAGGGTTGCTTGACTGTGGTCAGGAAGTCGTAAAGATTTGTCTAGTTCTAGCTCTGGGAAGAAGACACCTCCACCGACCTTTCCGGCAAGTTTGGAGTCATCAGTATACATGTTTATGGCCTTGATTATGTGGTGAGGCCTGGTGTTCCAATCCAGTCGATTTGGTAATGGTAATTCTATAGTCTATAGTAAGATGTACCGTAAGTCTAGGAACCTGCCTCTCTGAGTCAAAATAGCCGCTGTTGCTTGAACAAAAATTTGAAGAGTAGTCCATTCTTGAAGCAAGTCCGCAGTGGATGTTTACATTCATCCACTGGCGGAGAAACATGCCAACATTTGGAAAAAAATGGAAAGTTGGATAATAGTTTTCTGCGGTGTTTTCTGCCACCATACTACAGATGCATACGACACAACCACTCGTACAACAATTCAGATACATATATGTTCTTGGTTGATCAAAATAAACTCGCATAGCCAAATCTTCTTATTTGGCACTAAAACTGTTTGTCTGTTTGGGGCAAGACCGAAAAAATTCGCCCCAGTTGCTTTTTTCCTAAGCAAATCTGTCCCAATTGTTCGTCCCCAGTGCATTTTGTCCTGGCTGTGTTGGTGGGCGTTCTTGATTTCATTGTCCATCCACTGATGGCGAGTCGAATATCTTGTCAAACAAGCGTCTGCATTGAATTGTTATGCGGTAAACTATTTCCAGATCGCTGAAAAGCCCGCTCATTTTTTCTTCGGTACCCATCATCCATCTCGTCACATCTTTTTTCAACGCCGTCTACATTTTTCAGTGTACAGTGAAACCCGCTTAAGTACGTAACCCGCTTAAGTTCCCAACAGTTTTGGACACCGTGAATTTTTTAATGTATTCTGAAAAAAATACCCTCTTTTAAGTAACTCCCCGCTTATGTACCCAACCCGCCGAAGTACCTACATTTGTCGTTCCCCATTTACCATTTTACTTATAATTTTCCCCTTTTAAGTGCTTTTTTTAATTCCTTCAAACATTTGCATATTTTGAAATTCAGTCGCAGCGCTACACACCTGCAACAAAAATGCAAAAAAATCAACGGTAATTCTCAGCCACTTGTAACATGCGCATTATTACACTAAAATTGAATGGGCTAAACCGCATACTCATAAAAAAATTTCACACTTCTGAAAAACAAGTTTGAAATTTTGATGAAATTTTTTTCAGTGTTCTGCAAAATTTTAAGCTTATATTTTAAGTGTCTATAGTATTTGTTAGGGAATAAATTTTTTTAAATTGAAAAATGTTAAAAATTAAAAAATAAACATAAGTGGCAAACAATGTCATTTTTAATTTTGTCCAAAATGATATGCCCTGTTTGTGTGTATATATAAATATGTATAATCAAAGCCTTTTTGATTTAATTCTTGTGAAAATTACATAACATCGCTTTATCTGTTTTTTTATACCTTTCATGAGCATGAAATGGTATTATAACTTTGG